TTTGTTTCTTTCAGCTTGAAATAAGCTGGTGTGGTGCCTGGTTTGGGGGTGTGTTGGGAGGAAGGAGTGGTGCAGAATGAGGGACTCCAGAAATGGCTTGCTGTGAATAAAAATTAGAGAATTGGCTGCTTGTGCTTCCTGTAATATCTGTGTTCATTGTGAAAACTGCAAGTCAGAGTCAACCAGACTGCAAAGTTGGGAGCACACAGCTGCAAGCTGAAAATAAGATTTCTGGGTGATGCAGAAGTGCCAGGGCTGTTTGGTAAGAATACTTCATCAAGATTTGGCAAAGCTTAATGGGAAATGGTTTGGATGGACTGTGTTGTCATTAAGAGGTTCTGAGTGTTTTACAACCCCAGAATAGATTTTTTTTTCAATTAGCTTGCAAGTATTGTTGTGCTCTGAGTTTATTGTGTTGTGCAGGTGGCTGACAAAAAAAAATCTCACCTTCAACTGGGAGAAATTAGGAGGGAAACAAAGCAGTGATGGAAAGAAGCAAAGAGAATTTTTACTGCCCATAGACCTGAGGGATTTTCATCAGCTGTGTCAACCAGGGAAATGTTATTGCAGCAAAAGACCCCAGTTCCCTACCCTGCCCTGTCCTACAGGCAGTCACTTGAAGCAAGTTATTTTAGAGAGGGATTTTTTTAGACTTGTTCCTGTAAGGAGCTGAAAGCAACTTGATAGCCTAATGTTTTCCCCTAAAAGGAGAAAAAGAATAATTCCTGCACAGCTCCAAACAGCCCCAGGGCCTGGTAACCTCATTGGTGACCTTCGTGTCCTCTGTGGGGGCCAGGGAGGCGCAGGACCAGGGGGGTGCCCAGGGAGCCTGGCTGCTCTGTGCCCTGGGGGTGGCACTGGGGTGACAGTGACACTGGGGAGGTGACACTGGGGATGACAGTGACACTGGGGGGTGACGGTGACACTGGGGAGGTGACACTGGGGGTGACAGTGACACTGAGGGGGTGACACTGGGGGGTGACAGTGACACTGGTGGGTGACACTGGGGGAGCATTGGCTGCTGCCCTCGTTATTCCACAAAGCCATGCTGGGGGAATGGGTTTTTCCTGCCCTGTGCCAGAGAAGGATTCCTTCACTTTGTGGGTGCAGGGTCTCAGAGGGGCTCTGATGCTCTCTGTGGCTTGGACACCTTGTGTGTAGAGTCACGACTTCAGTCCTTCCACAGTGGCAGAAAAATGAATTATTGCAAGTGTGAGCGTCCTGGGGCTCACCACATGTAAAACTGAGCAGCCTGTGAAGTTAGGGAGCTGAGGAAAGTTCATGTTTCAGGTAATGACCTGGAAGGTTCATTCAGGAGTGAGTGGATCCATGGAAGTATAATTTTTTTTGTTTAAATTGTGTCATACATACAAGAACAATAGTCCAGCAGGAGCAGGAGGACGTGTTTTGCCTGGATTTGATTTACCCTGTGGTTGCTGTAGCCTGTAGCTAGCAGAGCAGAAGCCTCTCTATGTAAAACCAGGGGGAAGGATATTTCCTTCCAGCTTTATTAAACTCTGAATTACATCAAAGATAATGCAGTTGGAACCCGAGCCAAGGCCTATGGACAGGGTTGATGTTATGGTTTCTGGCAATTCTGGATGGGACTGAAATGCAGTTGGACATAAAAGAAAGACACAAACCAGCAGACTGTTTAGCTGGTGTGTTTATATAAAGTAAACATGTTTGAATTTATCTTGAAAAACATCCTGGTGCCAGCAGCCATGCTAAAGATTGCTTTCTCTCAGTAAAGCTTACAGGAAGAAGAAATCTTTTTCCTAGTGGCTTGTTGACAGCAAGTTTTTATTAATGTAATTATTACTATTTTATTTGAGCTGAAGAATGTGCTACAGGGTGATATTTAGCAAGCTGAATGTTTTGATTAGGAAACATAACAGTCACTGCAGTTGTTTTATACTCGCTGCTAAGCAAACTCCTCTCAGTTGCTGTGCTTTGGTCTCCATCACATTGCAGGGGAAGGAAAAGGGATTCATTTATTAAAGCCATGTAGTCGTTCTTTATCACTTTCACCTGAGAATGTGCAGGTTCTTTGGCAGTGTATAGTGAGCTGTGTCCATGGCACACAGTCTTGTCCCTGTTTTATTTGGGAGCATGGGAACGTGGAGCACCAGTGTGCTACCCATGAGCATGGGGAGTGCAAGGGGATGAAACTGAAATGAGAGCTGAAATACAGCAGCAGAGCCAGGGCTGATGCTGGAGGCTGGCACGAGGGTCCCACTCGTGCCAGGGCAGGTGCCAGGGAAGGGCAGCGATTTGCTGTGTGCCCAGGGGCGTTTGCTGTGTGCCCAGGGGGTTTGCTGTGTGCCTGGGGCAGCAGCAGGGCTGGGCTGGGGCTGTGTGTGCCCAGGGGGGTTTGCTGTGTGCCCAGGGGGGTTTGCTGTGTGCCTGGGGCAGCAGCTGGGCTGGGCTGAGCAGGGCACTCTGGGTCTGGCTGTGTCCTTTGCTCCTCAGCCTGCCTGGGTGCACAGGGGCCTGGCAGTGGTGCCAGGCAGCTGTCTGCCACACACTGACGGCTGGGATCTGTCCTTGGCCCTGGTGTGCAGGTGCTGCATGCTCTGAGCTTGCACACACCAGCACGTGCTTGAGGAGTGACCCGTCAGGCCCTGTTTGAGCAGTGACCCTTCAGGCCCTGTTTGAGGAGTGACCCTTCAGGCCCTGTTTGAGGAGTGACCCTTCAGGCCCTGTTTGAGGAGTGACCCTTCAGGCCCTGTTTGAGGAGTGACCCTTCAGGCCCTGTTTGAGGAGTGACCCTTCAGGCCCTGTTTGAGGAGTGACCCTTCAGGCCCTGTTTGAGGAGTGACCCTTCAGGCCCTGTTTGAGGAGTGACCCTTCAGGCCCTGTTTGAGGAGTGACCCTTCAGGCCCTGTTTGAGGAGTGACCCTTCAGGCCCTGTTTGAGGAGTGACCCTTCAGGCCCTGTTTGAGGAGTGACCCTTCAGGCCCTGTTTGAGGAGTGACCCTTCAGGCCCTGTTTGAGGAGTGACCCTTCAGGCCCTGTTTGAGGAGTGACCCTTCAGGCCCTGTTTGAGGAGTGACCCTTCAGGCCCTGTTTGAGGAGTGACCCTTCAGGCCCTGTTTGAGGAGTGACCCTTCAGGCCCTGTTTGAGGAGTGACCCTTCAGGCCCTGTTTGAGGAGTGACCCTTCAGGCCCTGTTTGAGGAGTGACCCTTCAGGCCCTGTTTGAGGAGTGACCCTTCAGGCCCTGTTTGAGGAGTGACCCTTCAGGCCCTGTTTGAGGAGTGACCCGTCAGGACCTGTTTGAGCAGTGACCCGTCAGGAGCTGTTGGTCCCTGGCTGACGTCGGGCCCTGTTTGAGCAGTGACCCTTCAGGACCTGTTTGAGGAGTGACCCGTCAGGACCTGTTGGTCCCTGGCTGACCTCGGGTGCTGGCTCCTGGTACTTGGTGCCAGCAGCTGCCCTGGGGCTCTCAGTGTGCTCCCTGGGCACAGCCCACCCTTCCAGAGCACCTGGCACTGTGAGGTGGGGTGAAATGGCAGCCAGGCCTCGTGCTCCACTGACCTGCTGCTCCTTGTTGAACCACTGGTGCTTTCCTCCTCGGCCGTGCATCCCTTTTAATGACACTTTACATGGATTATTAGTGGGTGTTTCTGCTGCTGGCTGTCTCCTAATGCAGCTGCAGCAGCCAAGGTGCAAGGTTTCTCTGGTGCATTAATGAGGTCCTGAGAGGGTGACTGCCCACTGAGAGCAGAACAGCTGTCAGTCTGAATTTATCACCCAGATATGACTCCTGCCGGAGAAAAATCCAGTGCCTGAGAATGCAGTGGGGTAATATTTGTTTGAGGTGGACCGTGTTTAAATCTGGTGGTTTTTAACATGTCCATGTGTTGGCAGATATTTAGGGAGCAGTTAAATTGTTAGAATCAATGGCCATCACTTTGAGAACCAAATAAACTTACCTAGTGCATGCTAGTGCATGTTTTAGACTAGCCTGTCAGTAGTTTTCAGAATTACTGAAATTCTTGGATTTTTTTTTAGTTTTTGTTTTTTTCACATACAGTTTGGGAATCCAAGTTTGGTTTTGGGTATGGTTTTATATCTCTGTGTTACTATAAATAACGGTTGGTGGTTGGAAGCTGTCTTGTGAAAAAGCAGCTAATTTTTGTTCATGTGAGATGATCTGTGCCTAAAGCTGTGAGCTGAGGCATCTCACTATCTCTGTTATTAAGGCTTCATTTTTTTAGATAGTGGAAAAGCGTTTCAATTCATTCTGGTAATGTAATACTTTGAGGTAGCTGGAACTTTCTTTATGCTATGTATTTTATCTTTTTGCCACTTAATAGTCTGACCCCATTCAGAAACATTTCAGACTGTGTATCCTTTATGTTATTAATGGCAGTATTGATTTATAAGATCAACTTTAGAAACGACTTGCTGTTTTACAAGAAAACCATCAGGAGGATCAATGTGCTTTCTCTCTGTACATCTGCACTTGTATCTGTTGGAAATGGTGGTGGAGTCCAGTGGCTGTGGGCTGTCCCTGCTCTGGGGAAGGGCTGGTTCCATGTCCTGGTGAAGCTCTGGGAGCAGTACCTGCAGGTGGGGAGGGGTTGTTCCCTGATGGCAGTGCAGACATTGCCTGTGGCCAGGCCAGAAAGCACAAAGTTTGGATTGCCCTTCTCCTCGTCTGCATGCAGAGTGGGTGGGGGTGCTAGGGGAGGACAGGGCAGGTACAGGAGGGAGCTGTGCTGCTTCTCAGAGCGGGGTGTCACTCTGCTGTTTATCAAAGCTGCATGAAACGGGATGGAGTGCTGAGGTTTATGAGCATTGTTTATAAAAGTAAATGTTTTTTCCCACCCTTCTCCCACCACAACTAAGATACTATACACTTTAAAGTTTATTTTCCTTCCTATGAACCTTTCTTCCCCTCTGTCTTTCCCCAGCCTGTTCTGTAGTGATTTGATTGTGGATTGCTTTCCTGGGGCTCTAACCTGAGTTCATTTTGTTATGTGGTGACCACAGTTATGGATGACGCTCCCCCTGGCACTCAGGAGTACATTATGTTACGGCAAGATTCCATCCAATCTGCGGAATTAAAGAAAAAAGAGTCCCCTTTTCGTGCTAAGTGTCACGAAATCTTCTGCTGCCCGCTGAAGCAAGTGCACCTCAAAGAGAACACAGAGCCGGAAGGTTTGTGGCACTGCGGGTCCATGTTCTGTTTGTTGGTCCCCTCTCCCCGTGTGTCCCGGGCGTGCTGTGTGTCCCCGCTGCGCGGGCCGGGAGCCCTGCCCTCTGTCCCCTGCTTGCTGCCAGTGTCGGTGCCCCCACAGGCACTGCGCCCCGAGCTGCTCGGGCTCCCTTCCGGACAGCAGGACGCTGCTTCTCCTCTCGGAAAGTTTGTTTGTTTCAGCTCTCATCATCACACACCGCCCTTTTTTTTGGCTGCCAAAAGCTGCTTGCTGCTCCAACGGCCTCAGTCCGCAGGCGGTTCTTTGCAGTAGTTCCTGAAGCTGCACTCTGCTCTGAGTCTGGCACCAGCCCCGGGTTCGGCTTGTCCCCAGCACCTTGCACTCCATAAGGCTTCTGCACAGTGCTAGAGAATGCTCATGGCAGCTGTTCTGGGTGAAGCAGGATGAACTTTGTGTGGAATGCACGCCTGGTTGCATTTTGGGAAATGAAATGCATGCAGAGCAGAAAAAAAAAAAAAGTAGATTGTTTTCCTTTTCAGATGAAGCAAAGGTATGGTCTCTCCTCATGCTGTGTTTACTGATGTGAAATTGCCAATGAGGTATATCTCGTTTGTCTAGTGTGCCTAAGATTAAGCTATTTTAAATTTTATTTTTTAATACTTTCTCTTATTGTTCCATATGTGTTTTGCATTACTGCTTCATATTCCACGTGGTAAGCCTTGTACTTTTTGCATAAGCTCCAGTATCTGCCAAGACAAATAATGCTACTGCATACATAGAAGTGTTTTAAGATGAAATATTCAGGGCTGGATTTTGCCACAGTCGAGTCTGCAGGAGCAGCAGAGTGAGCAGGTTGGAGTTCTTATTACAAATCACTTGCATTATTCTCTCTGTGATGATGGGCATCATTCCTGAGCTGTCACTATTAGCCCAAAATATTTCAGTCAGTTGCTTTCTTCTGTTACGTTCTCCAAATTTTGCATGAATGTTCTTTGTACCACCTCTGTGAGATTTGTGTCTTTTAAAATAAAATACTTTATTAAAATAGCATTTATCATCTCACCAGAAATATTAACTGTGATACACATTCTGGTTTAAGGCTCGGGGAGAGGTTTCTTGTTTCAGTGATGATGTAACTGGATGTTGAAGTCGGGGTTTGAAGAAAGTCCAGTTGTCCTCTCAGTGCTGGCGTGACCTGATAGAAGTTGTGATTTCATGGCTCAGTAGAGATGAAGGGCAGGTGAATCCTGTGGCACTCTCCTGGTTAGCAGACGTCGTGGATTTCTTGTCCTCTGTCAGGGTTTGTTCATGAGTAAATTCGGAGCCCAGAGCTGTTCCTGACAAGCTCCTCCAGGAAGGCGATGGCAGCAGAGCTTCCGCAGTGCTCAGCACTGCACTTGGAGAGCAGAAGATCCCACAGCCACGAGGCACGAAAGGGAGCTGGCCCTGAGCTCCATCCCTGGCTGACAGGCTGTGTGTGGGTCCTGCCTGTGCTGCCCTGGAACTGCAGCAGAAGCTTGGGCTTGTTTCATGCAGCCTGCCCTGGGAGCTGGATTCCTGCAGAGCCCTGCTCCTGGCTGGGCTGATCCTCTCCGGGAATAAACCACCAGCTCACACCCCAGGATCCAGGAGGAGCCAGGAAAGCAGAGCAGGGCTGGGCCTTTGCTCTCCAGAGTCTCCGTGGGACATGGTTTTCCCCTCACGTCCTTGCCTGCTTGCAGCATCATCTCTGTTCACACTGGTGCCCCGTGTGCACCCGAGGAAAGAGCCCCAGGGCAGTGCCTGCTTCCAGCCTGAGGACACAGGAGGCTTGGCCCAGTGGCTGCAGCCAGTGCTAGGACTGGGAGGAAGGAGAGGAGATGGAGGTCAGCACGATGAGAGCTCCCAGTGTGCCAGGGGTGTCCCCCTGAGCCCCGTGCCAGGGGATGCTGCCAGCCCAGGTGGGTGCTGCCCTCCCTGTGCCCCGGGGAGCCTGGGGCTCTGCTAAGAGCTGAGCTGCTGCTTGTTCTGCCAAAGCCATTGCACAGCTTGCAGTGTCCTGGGCCTCTGAAGGGCGGCAAAACCAGCAGGGCTGACATCCTTACCTGGATGCTGCTCCTCTGGGTGTCGGGCATTGTTTACAGTTGCATCCACAGCAGAATACAGAGTGGTTTTGCAGCTTCCCTCAAGCCAGGAAGGCGCTGCTAGCAGGAGAAGGGCCATCTGAAGTACATTTTGCAGCTATTTGTTCTCTTAAATAGTTTAAACATAAGCTGCTGCTGCTATCTGTATAAAACATGGTTACATAAAAAGGAGTCAGCTCCTGGAAAACTAATTTGAGTTGTATTATTACATCCAGGGAAGGGAATAAAATGAGAGAAATGTTTTTTAAAAACACCCATTGGTTAGTCACAGTCACACAGTCAGGAGTCTTGGACACTCGCCCATAGTTCTGTTTTCATGTGGTTGGGGTTTTTTTCCCTTTTTATTTTTTTTCCTTTTTTTTTTTTGGTAACATTTATTCTCCCTCCAGGCGTACATAACCTTTTTACACAGAAAAGCAGACAAGCATGGCAAAATACGTATTGGGGATGGGCAGAGGGAAGTCTGGGACAGCAGCTGGTAACGAGGAAAGGCAGCTTTCCTCAACCAACAGGAAATGTGATTAGATAGAAAATGTTAAGGATGCTAATGTGGAGCAAGCAGCTCTGTGGTTGCCCTTGACAATGGCTTGTTCTCTTCATCCCCAGCAGTGGGGAGAGTGGCAGAGGCAGTCCTGGCTGAGGCACAGGGAGTGCAGGCTGCTGTCCCACCTGTGCCCTGGCACCTGTGCCACCTGCAGGAGGTGCAGCCTTTGTGCTGGGATACAGAATGTCCCTTCGGTGCTCGAGCGTGGTGTCACACTGAGAGCACTGGCACCTGGCACTCCAGTTACATCCTTTTCTTCGAGACCAGATCAGCCCTGTCAGCCCTGCAAGCCCATTGCATTGTGTTAGTGCCTGTGCATTTCTGCATTTCAGAGGAGAAAGGGAACGAAGAAGGGTGAGCAGATCTGAAATCAGAGAGTTGTGAGAGGTGTTCGAACTTCACATATTGCTCAGAACTAAAAATGACTTTGTGTTCCAGTGGGGAATGACAAAGATGAGCCACGTGGAGCAGGCACAAGGGCCAGGACAGGGAGGGACAGCAGGGTCAGCATCTGTGCTGGCTGCCTGAGCCCCAGTTCCCCCCGAGCCCCTGGAGGTGCCTCCTGGAGCATCCTGGAGCATCTGACTGGAGCTCCCTCCAGGGACGGCCCTGTGCTTCTGACCTGAGCACATTTCACAAGTGCTGTTCTGGCACTGGCAGCAAGCAGCTGAGCAATGCCTGAGCCCTGCAGCACTAAATGACAAACTCCTAAATCCTGCCTGTCTGGGTCCACGTGCAGCTGTGGGACCTCAGCAAGCAGCTGAGCAATGCCTGAGCCCTGCAGCACTAAATGGCAGCAAACTCCTAAATCCTGCCCGTCTGGGTCCACGTGCAGCTGTGGGACCCTGTCTGCAGTGAAGGGTGATCTGAAGGGGGGACAGAGGCCAAAAGGCAAAGGTCTGAAGCTGCACCAGTGTAATGGCTTTTCCCCAAAGAGAAACCTCTCTGGGCTGAGTGGTGACCTGTTCAGCTCCTGTTCAGGGCTGGGAGCAGTGCTGGCTGCTGCAGGACAGTGCATCCAGCAGAGCAGCTCAGTCCTGTGCCTGGCTGAGCCCCCCTGCCCTGATCCTCCAGAGCCTCTAAGCACGAGATTAACTTTAAACACGAGTGCTCCCAGCAGAGTCACGGGGCTTGGGAGGTATTTAGTGAGCTTACCTGAACACAGGCTGGGCCTGACTCAGGTATGGGCTCAGCCAGTGCAAATCCAGAGTAATTCCACTGAAATCCAAGATTTACTCAATATTTACTTGAGTCTGAGTAAGTAATGGCATTAGGAGCAGTTGTAGAACGTTTATTTAAAGATAAATGATTTTTAATTCTCAAACTGGACCTGGCCTTACCCCTGAAGAGGTCATGGCAACCGAAAAAGAAGTGCTGTCTCTTACCTTACCTGTGTACCCTTTGAGAGAAGCCTTTTATCTGTGCCTTTTACTATTTTGTTCTAATCTCAAAGTAAATATTCACTATGGAGACAGTACCTGGCACTTAGCATAGCTGAAGTAGGACATTTAGACCAAATGAGTCACCCTGATATTCTTTTCTCATCTCATCTTTAAAGGACTCTGAGATCTTCAAAGAGTGTTCCTTGTGTGCAGAAAGGCCTTTGTCTTGCTACTTTTCCATCCCATGACTCTCCTGAGAAAGCATCAGACTTCGTTCTTCAACCTGCCCTCGTTTTAGATCAGGAGACGTAGTTCTTTATGAACAATGAAGGTTTTTCTCTGTGCCTTACTCAGCTCCACGGCCCATCATAATTTCTGCACAGATTTTATCAGTGGTCATGTCTGTAGCACACAGACACAGAGTGCCTTTGGGCTGGGGCCACGACAGGTCTGCCATGGGGTCCTGGTTAGGCAGAGTCTGCAGCCCAGGAGCAGTTAGACTTGCCAGCACCCTGATTGTTCTGAGCCCCACGCAGGACACAAAGCAAGTGGCCCAGGGTGGCTTTGCCTTAATTGCTCTGATGAGGTTTGGCTTTCTTCCCAGTGATTTTCCAGGTAACAGCTAATCTTTCTGCTTATCCTTGGTTTTTCTTCTTGTTACAATTCTCTTGTCTCGGGTCTTGGTGCTTGTGGCAGAGGTCACCTCGTTCCTCAGCTGTGTCCCTGCAGCCTTTCTGGGCAGCCTGGAGGCTTAGCTGGCCTGCCGTGGTTCAGGGTGGCACAGGAGGTTTCTCTGGGGTGGGAAGGGGTCAGTGCCCCAGGAGCAGCACTCACCCACAGCTGCCCTGAGGATGGGCCCCTCTGCCAGCCAGTGCCAGCAGCCCTGGGCCCCGGGAGCGAGGGGGTGGCACTGCTGTCCCCTGCCTGCCCTCCTGGCCACCCTGCTCTGGTG